AGCTCAGGTGATGTAGTGGCAAGGGCGCACTGTCTCACACGCATGGTCAGGGGTTCCAATCCCGGAAAAGACCGACCAAGCATCCATCCCTCCGGGTTCGGTTAACTGGTACCACACTCGTCTGGGGAATAAAAGCACTGACTTGTACATCGGCTGGCCATCGCAAGTCATTGTATAGGCCACATACGCACTCATTACGCCACTACAATTCTTAATGGAAGTCAAATGCGGGGCGCATCCCGCTGACAGGTTTGATCAAAGCCCCGAGGCTTTACTCTTTTTTAAATATCACTCAGGTCAATGTAAGAAATGCCTCTAAAGGTGAGTGGGCGCATTTGTAAAGGCCAGATGTTCAAATTGGACATCATCTACTTAATTACACAAAAATTTCAAGTTATTGCCACAACCTTAAAAATGAGTCGAAAATTGAAATGACACAAACCTTTGTCCCGAAATAGTTGGAGAGACCGAAATCGGCAATTTTTGCATTATTATCCTGGTCGAGCAGGATGTTTTCCAGTTTGAGATCCCTATGCGCCACTTGATGCTAAAAGAACTTTTTTTAGAAACGATACATAGGTCAGATCGGCTTGAGTGAATCCGTTGAGTGCCCACATCCTGAGAATGAATGGTGCTATCTCACCTTATGACAGTAGAGTACAGCTGATGTAATTTGTCTAAAAATACGCCTGGCTTCACTTTCCGGCAACGAACCGAAACGGGAGACATAATCATAGAGTTCACCGCCACTTGCGTATTCCATCACCAGGATAATCTTTTCTCGATTCTCGAACACTGGAATATTGCATCTTATCCTCAACACGTGAGTACGTCCAACCTTTATGCTGTCCATCAGAAAAACGTACCCTCAAATATTTGAATGATGTTGGGATGATGAAGGGCTGACATGATTCGGATCTCACGACGTATTCGAACTAGGTCGGCTTTGTTTTCGATGGCGCTCTTCTTGATCAGTTTCACTGCCACCTGTGCTACAGTCAACTGTGGAAAGAACTTTTTTCCAGAAAAAAAAAGAGAGAGACAAATATGGTGGGAGGGGGGGGGCTCAACTTTTTAATAAAGCTCTCAATAATTTCGAAGAAAATGCGACAGTGACAGAGGATGAAGTTTTTCCTCGAACGTCAGAAACTAGTTTATAGGAAGTCACTAAGAAGAGGAGAAAAATGTCGCCAAATACATTTGACAGTCAGTGAGCAAGTCAGGTACCTATCAAAAGGTATTGATAGGTCTGAGAATAAATA